CGAGAAATTCTATGATATATGATTGCTTGTACAAGAAATTTTATGATACATAATCGGTTCTACGAGAAATTCTATTATATATGCATAACGTGTACAGTATGTTGTAGCGTAAAATATGTTTGAATTGAAAAAGTACTAAATGAAAAACACAAAATGAAAAGGAAAAATAAACAATAAACACTAAACCCCTAAACCCCTAAACCTTTAGTCCCGGTTGGTATTACTAACCGGGACCAAAGGTCCCCACCATGCCCTGGCGCGCGCTGCCGACCACGTGGCCAGGGTTTAGTCCCGGTTCGTAGCCAACCGGGACTAAAGGCTTGAACCCTTTAGTCTCTATACTTTAGTCCCGGTTAGGGAACCGGGACTAAAGATCCTTTCCAATCGGGACTAATGGCATGTTTTTTACTAATGTGGTTTCAACATTTATTAGCATCGATGGAGATACTCTTATAAATTTTGACTAGACGCAATCGAAATTTTAGTCCCCACTAGTATAGTAGGAGGACCACGTCACGGTCCGTGAACGAGGTGGAGTTGAGATTTTTTGTCCAAACAGACTACCTGCGCAACAAAAATGGCAAAAAAGACTACCTTCAGATGAAATTAACAAAAGAGACCACCCCAGCCATGGCGGCAGGGGCGCCAGCCGACGCGTGGCACCTGCCGCCATGCTGGCATGCGGCAGCACCTGCCGCCACATGCCCAGGCGGCAGCAGCCGTGTAACAGGCAGCCAGCGCCCAAGACGAACGGGAGATTGCATGTGCTGCTTGCCGCCTAGCGGCGTGGCGGCAACACTGTTTGCATGCTGCTACGTTTCGTTTAGTCAACGTTTCATTTCGTCTGCGTTTTATTTTGTTTGCATTTCGTTTCGTCTGACGAATAATGCCACAAATTCATATACCCTGTTGTTGATTGCTTGACATGCAGCACACTGTTTTTGTAAATAATAATTGTTTATTTACAAATAATAATACGAGCCTCCGTCAGGGGCCTCATCGTCGGCCTCATCGCACCAGGCGATTCACCGGTGGACCTTCACCGTCGCGGGTATCATCATCGGCCTCCTCGCGGCGGCCTCATCACCCGACGGACCTGCTCCGCCGCGGGCCTCATCGTCGGCCTCCTCGCGTCAGCCTCATTCCCCGACGGACCTTCGCCACCGCAGGCCTCATCGTCGGCCTCCTCGCGCCGACATCATCGCCCGACGGACCTGCTCCGTCGCGGGCCTCCTCCTCTCGCTGGCCTCAACGCCGGGGCGATGATGTCGGCGGGAGGAGGCCAACGATGAGGCATGCAGCGGCGAAGGTACGTACGCGAGGAGGCAGATGGGCATTGAGGC